CCCATCTGTGTGGTCAACAAACAACACACTTGCCTGACCACGCTTTCTGTTATAGTATCACACTCAGAGAGACGCTACCGGGACCTCTCTGGTATCCGGTCTTCCACTCCCTCCTTCTGAAATCTTGAGCACCGCAAGGGATGGGCGGCTTAGATTTCGGGTTTGCGCTCTGACAACACAAGGGCGCGTGCAGCGTGGAAGTTGGTCTCCTTGCGTTCCTCTTGCCTTACTCCTCGCTTACCTTTTATATTGTAAGGTAAGTGTAAGAGGCAGTGTGGTGTAGTGGTTAAGAGCCTGGGACTGGGACTCAGACGACCTGGGTTCGAGTCCCCGCTCGGCCATGGAACCAGCTGGGTGACTTTGGGCCAGTCACAGACTCTCAGCCCAACCTACCTCACAGGGTTGTTGTTGTGGGGATAAGATGGAGGAGGAGATGGAAGCTGCCTTGAGCCCTTTGTAGGAAAAAGGCAGGATATAAATCCATAAATAAATAAATAAATAAAAATTGTTAATTTGTTTTATATTTTTAATGTATTATATTTTAATTTATGTTGTGAGCCGCCCCGAGGCTTCGGCGAATGGGGCGGCATAGAAATGTTTTAAATAAATAACAAATAAATAAATACCTCTAGGCGAGTACGTGTGACATCGCAGGCTTTTACACTGTTCTTCCAGTGCAGGGCTGAGGTTAAGCACTTCCCCCGTGCCGTCTGCGTCGGACGTGTTGTGCTGGTGCTTTCTGCCTTTCTGAGTAGCCTTTTTCCAAGTCACCTAATTCAAGTATTACTTTTGCCTAGATTCTTGACTGTGCTGATCAGTGAGGGAGAATATACCGAGAGTCTTTGAGTACTTTTGTTAAAATGGGGGTGGTATGGCCGATATTTAGAATGCAGCTCATTGCTTTTTTGTTTTTTTAAAGTTTGGGGGAACAGAATCATAGCAGAGTTGAAGAGCCACCATTTGCTTAGACTTGCTTGTTCTTTTCGATCAATATTTATTTATTTATTTGGGTATTTTTATCCCATGCAATTATGTTGTGCGTCTCAGGACAATTTATATTTATTAACAGTATCCATACATTGTTTTTCTACTTTGCAATGTAGAACAATATAAGAAAAATGAAACAATATATTACTAGAATGAAACAATGTAGAATAATATGTTATTCTTTCTTGTAGCATAGACTAATACAAGAAAGACAAAATAATGAAGGAACTATTGAGGTTCATCAAAGGATTCACAAAACGGCATAATTCCAAATGACAGCTACAAAATGGGCTTTGCTGGTTGTCTAAAACTCGGTAGGGATCGAGCCAACCTGACCTTCCCTGGCAGATGTTGCCTGTGAAAGGGTCCTTCTCCGGTACCCACCAAGTTAACAGCTCTTGGCCACACTTTTATTTAATTGTTAATTGCATTTCTACCCCACCCGTCAGCCCCAAAGATCTCAAATTACAGTTAGACTCATTTGCACTCAAGTCCTCATGTCTCCTGAAGCTGTTCAGGGCTTTTTCGGCCAAAAATCAGGACTTGGGAACAAAATGGCAGGCACTTGAGCTGGCTTCAGGTGGCTGATCCATGGCCTCCGACGTGCAAGCCGACACATTTAGCATTGTGGTCCTTCCCACATGCTTTGCGAGGGAGCTGTGCATAACAGTGTGTTGCAGAGGTCCAGATACAAGATAAACAAGGCATAGATCACGGTGCTCAGATGTGCCCTTCTCCAGAACTCGGACCTGCCGAAGCAGAACTTGAGGAAGAATTCTGAGTCCACGGCACCGTGACGCTGCCGGCCTTCAGGGTGCTGTTCAGAACAGGCGGTACCCAGCTTGCATTTTGGATGAAGAAGACCTCCGGTTTATTTGGACTGAGCCTGAAGTCGTCCACTCGTATCCAGTCCTGCACCGCTTCCCCAAAACATCTCCGGATTTTTTGCTCTGGGACTCGGAACCCTTTCCGAAGCGCTTTTCTGGCGAAGAAATCCCTGGCTCTTGAGGATTTCCCAGCGGTTTTTGTTGCAGGGGAAGCTGAGGGCCAACTCCCATGGTCAGCCTACCAAGTTCACACAACTCGCTGGCCAGCTCTCTCTCCCTTCTCTCCCATAGACCAATGGCTGCTTTATGAGCTGCTGTCCCTCCCAGGCGATCCTTGAAGGAACCTGTTTATGATCACTCGGGTATCCCAAAGCGCCGACTGCGATGCAGCGGCCCCCTCTAACAACTATGCTGGCTTTCTGTTGCCTGTCGCTTTGGCAGATGCCAAGTACATCCTTCTAAGCCATTGATGTGTTCACAGCGGTCCCACGAGCCACGAGAAATGCTCTGGGATGGTTCCCACGCCGGAAAGAGAATTGCTCTTCCCTTCCCATTTTTCCATATGGGCAACAAAGCTCCTGTCTAAGTGGAAAAAGGAGATGTCATACCCTTGGAGAAAGATAAATAAGCTGATCATATTTGTGGCCACAACCGACTCTGTGAAAATTCGCTCAGGGACTGTTTCGTTTATAGCGTTTCGGTTGTAGCTTATTGCAACGGAAACGGCAATCCCACATATAACACTTTGCAGTAATCCAACCAAGTGTGACATGAACTGTTTCAAACGACAAATAAATATTTCAATATTACTTATATTGAGGATAATCCTTCACTGGATATTAAAGAGAAGGGCAAATAATTTACATTTTCTGTCCGATGCCATCTTTCCGTGGCGAAACTGTTTGCATAGGTGGGAAGGCAGTTGTGAGCGCTTGGTGGCTGGGGTGTATGAAGCTGCTCACTTTGGACTAGCCACCCAGATGGCTTGGGAGCGGGTGCAGGGCGCAGAGCCCACCTCAAGACCGCTTGCAACTTGGGGCCCTTCTGGGAAACCGTGGGGCATGGTGGACCCCTGGCAACATCGCGGGCACGTGGCCGCAGGCTTCCCCCTCCCGGCCCGCGGCGTGCAGGGCCCTCTTCCCCTGCGCCGGCCGCCCTGGCCGGGAATCTTCCCTGCGGCAGCCATGGAAAGGCCGCGGGCTCCCCAGAACGGGGCTGGCGGCAGCTGGGCTGCCAGGGGGTGGCAGGGGGGCTCTGCAGTTGCCCCTTTCTGTGGAACACGCTGCTTCTGCCTCTTGGGGGCCAACGAATGGTTTGCCAGGACACTTTGCAAAACTGCAGGCTGGGGAGAGGCGCCGGTTGCAGCCGTCGCCGCCTGAGACGCTTGCCGGGGACGTGTCTTCGTGTCCCTGGTTGCGGGAGTGGAGGGGAGCTTTTTGCCTGGCGGGGATGTCTGGGGTTGCTGAGCTGTGGGCCCTGGGAAGCTTCGGAGATGCCAAGGAATGCCGGATTCCGCCACCCCCTCCTTGTGCACGCGCCCTTTCACACATGCCTCCCGGACTTGCCCTCGGCATCTGAGGTCTCAGTCCTGAGCTCCCTTTGCTTTTCTGGGCTGGGGTCCGGGCTCTGCCGGCCGTGTGCTGTGCTGTGATTTCCGGGAGAGCTTTTCTGAATCGTATGTGTCGCTATCTCTGGGTAGAAAAAAGGGGGCAGGTTTTTTTGTGGCCCCCGAGGACGCTGGATTTGCACGGCTCTTGCTGGCACCCTGCAATGCTATTGCCAGGGGCCAAAATAGTGGTACCCCTAAATTATCTTATTACTTATTTCTCCAGGGTGTATCCCACCTTTAAAGAGCTCAGAGTGACTTACATCATTCTCCTCCTGCTACCAATCTCATCCCCACAACAACACCCCTGCGAGGTAGGCTGGGCTGAGAGTCTATGGCTGGCCCAAAGTCACCCAGCTGCCTCCATGGCTGAGCGGGGACTCGAACCCAGGTCGCCTGAGTCCCATATCTGCACTCTTCACCACTGCACCAAGTTCTGTACGTGCTAACAGAGTCACTGGCACAATTCCAGTGGTATATTGGCATAGATTCCCGATAGCAGCATATTTTCAAGCGCTGGTAGCACAAAAGATTTAATTAGTATCTTATATCCCTCCCTGCTGATGTATATGGACTATGGGATTGTGCTATAAATACTTGTATTGATTAAATGTTTGTGAAACTACATTTCCATTCATTTAGGTTTTCATTTTGGTCTTTGCACCCTGATCCTGGGAGCTTCTTACCTGGCTGCTTGGTTGATCTTGGGTTGCAGCTTGATTCTCGGGAGATTTTCCGCCCGCGGCTGCCATCCAAGGCTAGGGAGGGGGGCTTAGAAAGGAGCCTGGCTTTGGCAAGTGGACGCAACTCTGTTCCATAAACCAGTGCTGAGGACCCTGTCCTTGTGGCGCGGTTGCAGCCTGGCTATTTACCGTGCAGCCGTCCGACTCTTCTGCTTGGCAGCAATGAAGAATGGCTTTGAAAAACAACAACCAGTTCTAGATATTTAACCTTCTTTGGGAGAGATGGCCGGTCCGTTTACGTTCTTCCGCCAGCACCCGGTGGCACTGGGCGTTTCTCAGTCACAACATGGGGCTCTCCAGATGCTTTGGATTAGATTTCCCAGCCCAGTGCCCTATTGGCCATGCTGTGGCTGAGGTTGATGGGAAGTGTAGTCCAAAACACTTGGAGGGTGCCATGTCGGGAAGCACCATGGAAGAGATGGTTACTGCCATCACGGAGCAACATATCCCATGGCTCCTCCATCCTGGAATTGTTAAAAAATGAACTTGGGTTGCCATGCAATTGAGTGTCGCACGAGGAATCCCTTCCAAGACAGAAAATACGTGGCGCAGGTTAAGCCACTCCAAGTGTGGTAAAAGAACACACGTCGTCCTGACGTTCTGCAAATGTTCCTGTTTTGTTTGCGTTGCTTTCAGGTATTTCGGGAGGTTCTGGATATTTGCTTTCCTGATCGCTGCAGGTCCTGTCTTCTACAATGCAGGATGTCTCTACGCCCTCAAGGCTTTTGTGCATGATGGGCATTCAGATTTTGTTGAGGGTTGACTGCATCTTGTTTGTCAAGTCTTGAGGGGGGAGGGGGCTATCCTGGAACGTACAGCAAAAGCTGAGTTAATATAACCTCTGGTTAAGATTAAAGCTAATCAGCTCCGTTTTCTTTCTTTACTCCGAGGCATGGGGAAGGCTGGAGAGGAGGGGATGAGTTTGCACAACTGGCAAATAAAGTTGTTTTGCAGCGTTGGGAAGGTGACGTGAGTGCAAGATAGGAGGAGAAGGACCCTGCAGGAAAAGAGGCTCAGGAGCTAAAGAAATAAGCGGGGGCCACACGGAATTCATGGGCGGCCGAGGGGGAGGCGACGCAGGGTGCAGAAAAGGAGGAGGTTTTCCTCGCCAGCATCGCTGTACATCCATATGCCACTCAACTGTCTTTCTCTCTGCCCTGTGGATTCCCTCTGGCAGGAAGTGCCCACATGCTTCCAATCTTGCACGTTCATGGGCATCTCCTGGTTGGTCCTGCCCTTCTCCATCTTCCTCTCCATCCTTCCCGTGATCTTTGCCTCTTCCCTCCCCTTCTTGGATGGGGCTGGTCGTCGCTGCCTTCCCTGCACTGCCCCCTCTCAGGACCACCCATCATTTCCTTGGAGTCCCCCCACTCCGCCTCTCCACTCTGCCTAACCTCTTCCCTCCATGATGCCTCCTGAGATGCCACCTGGAGGACTGAGAGGGAAGGAGATGGGGGGAGGAGAAGAGTTGCCACCACACGCCTGACCATCTGACTGGTACATCAAAGAAAAGCAGTGCAAACTGTGGCCATCACACACGGTGTGAACGCATCCATCTTCCCCCGATGTTTGTCCTCTTCTGCAGGACTTACCCTTGGGACGCTTGATGGCTTCCTCATTCTTTGCTGGTTAAGCAGACACCTGCTGTAGACCATCGAGATGGGGGAAAGCGTGTTTCTCATGAAGTTGAAAGGAAACTGAGTGTGGTACTGAGTGTTTGTGGGCAGCAATGCTGCTTCTGAAGACTGGTCTTCTGTGGTGGTGTTGAGGAAGCGGATTCGTCCAGCCGGGCCTCAGCTGCCCTGCGACGGCGACCAAAAGGAACAACGGGGGCATTCAGCTTTGTGTAGCCCTAAATTGTAACAGGGAGCTTGAGCAGTGGAAATGGCAGAAATATGCACAGTCATGTGAGGAGTGAAGAAGAGCCCAGTGGAGGAGGTAAAGGTGGAACGGCTCTCCAGAGGTGCCCTGTCAGCGAAGCTGCAGGGGCGTTTAGCACCTGGGAAGAGCCCTGCTCTTTATCACGTCCCGCAAGAGCGTCTTCCATAAATTAATCATGTGTTTTGTGCCCTGTTTTGGCAGTCTCTCTTCCTGGCTGACCTGAGCTCTAGAAGACGTCTCGCTGCTCCTTTCTTCCTCCTCCTCCCCTCCCCCAGGCACAATTTTATAAGCCGCTTCCTTATTTCCTAGCAGTCTTTTCTGAGTTAAATGCCCCCAGTGGAAGTTGTCGCTCCTTATAACGGTGCCTCCCCTGCTGATAATTTTGCCTTCCATTTTTGGTATTTTCACCAGGGCTGTCATTGGCTGTTGAATAAATTTGCAACGATCGACATCTTTTTACAACTGCATTTTGAAAAAAGTACTCGGTATCGATACAAGCTGGATATATTGGCTGAAATTGGTAGGAACGGGCAGGATGATTAATCCTGCGATGCCTGGAATGTGTGATGGCCGCTTGCGCTCTCATCCTTCTCCCAAATTGGAGGTTTTATAGGTCTCGATCTGGATGCGATGTGCAGCAGGGCCCTTTCAGAGTTTCTGCCCATTAATCTCCTTAACCTCGCCATCTGTTGCCATCGGTGTGGGATGATAATAGGACTGATGGAGCGCTTACACAGTTGCCATTGCTCTGCACCGGCCTGGCAAAACGTGCAGCCCTCACACCACAGTTGGAGCTGGCAGGCCGTCGGGTGCTTTGGCCTGCAGTTCCCATGGTCCTTCATCATTGGCCGCGTGGGCCAGGGCTGATGGAACTGGTGGGCCACAGAGTTGGGAGCTCCACGGGTTCCCACTGCATGCTGCACTTCCAGTGCCATAAAACAAGACGGGTCCAACCTGCTGCGAGTCGGGACTCGCGTTCACCCACAAACAATAGCGTTTGAAGGAAAGCAATGGTAGATCTTGGAGGAACACGCTCAAGCCCGGCAGTAGGGGTTGGACTTGCAGGCTGGCTTCTGGCTTGTGTGGGGTGGAAGGCTAGCGATGAGGTTCTGTGGGAGCAAAGGCCATTTCTGGCCACTCGTGGGGCTGACCAACTGCATCGCTTCAGTCAAGGCCGTTTCCTGCGTCGAGGAGTGACCTCAAGATGGTTTTCCATGTCCGCATCACATGGACTAACCCTGTAAGCCCCATGGTCACCTTTCTTACTTGACTGTTTTATAACCTGGGGATGGGCTCCTAGCCTCATTTTATTCCCCGTCTGCTCCTAGACCTCATGAACGCAGGGCACACCTGTCCCAGTCCAGTTTATCCATACTGTGGATTTAAGACCTGTTTTGAGTGTCACTTTGTATTCTCCTTTCTGGTTTTTTTTTAGATGATTTTAATGGCTTATTTGTTAGGCTATTAAAAATACTGTCCATTTCGTTTGGGGAGCTTTTCTCTGAAAGGTCAGGGAATAAATGTAACAGGTGAACCATATGCTATTTTTGGGATACGATTTGTGGAAAATTATTGTCGCTTTGGGAGCTCTTCCGGAATGGGTTGCACAGGGTGTACCTGCAAGACTCAAATGGAGCCTCTTTTGGCTGTGAGACATTCCCTCGCCTCAGCAGAGCGGGGAGCAAGTTTATCGGGAATGAACGAAGTGGGCTGATGTTCTTTCCTGTGGAGAGCACCCTTGGATGTCCGCAGCCTCAAGGAAGGTGCCACATTAATGGGAGATGTGTACACAAGTGTAATGCTTGTGATACTTATAAACTGTCAGTAGGGGGCGATGTTGTGCTGTTTACCTAACTACATTGTGGTCTTGCATCCATGGGGAAATAAACCTGCATGGAAAACGGACATGTCTTCTTTCATTCACTGTGATAAAGAGGAAGAAAATGTTTCATTTCTTGGGCACCAGAGTCTTAGCACAGAATTTCCCACAGGAATTGAAATGTATATTTAATCATGAGTTTAAATGTGGTTTAAGTTCCCCTCCCAGCCCTGCCAGCCATGGGTACTTTGGACTCAAGCGTCTTGGAAGGAGCAGCTCATCAAAGTGATACCTGCTGCCTATCACCTTGATTTTTAAAGCACCTTTCAAGCCACCATTTTAGCATTCTAAATAGTTTACATTCTGAAATTTCTGTATTTCAAATATTTGTGTTATTTTCTTTCAGCTCTGCCTTGCACAAACAAGCAAGTACAGGGGAAAGGCCGAACAGACGTCTGCATAAGAAGACCGTCATTTCAGAAATACTTTTACGAAGTGTGGTAGGCATTTTTTAAGTCATGTTGGCTGTTGGGATGCAGACGATGCAAGTTGCAAATCAGGGGAGTGGCCCTTCCAGGCGGCGTGATGGCAGACGCTTACCCTCGCTCTCGACACCTTGCTCGAAGCCCGGGAATGCTTGCTGAGATGCTAAATTTCGTTAGCCTACCTAAGGGACAATTGGTCAGGAAATCTGATTGCCATCTGTCAACCTAGAGCTGGAGCATTTTCACTCCGCCTGATTATTGGTTTAGAAACCACGAAGTGGCTGCCTTCCATTCTCAGTTGCCCCACATTGGGAGCTGGCCCTGGGGGTTGCCTGGAGGGGGGTCAAAAGGGTCCAGAGTTTGCCCCCCAGACTTCCAATTTGTCAGCTCTGCTGCATTTCTGTCATTCAGAGACAAAGCTGACGTTCTCCTTCCCCAAATTCCGTGATGTTTTCTGTTTGCATCCATTCCATGTTTTCCGAGTATCTTCCATCTTTCGCTTTGGTTAATGGGGAAGAGCGGGATTAGTTGCACGCTGCCTTTTGAGGAGCAGCACTAGGAGCCCTTCTGTCTGGAAGCACCATCGATTCTCATGGCTCTTTATTTTTGTTCCTCCCAAAATCTGAGGACACGGGCAAAACATGCTGCGCTCTACTTTCAACCCTCAGGATTTCCCAACGAGTTTTCCTGTGTCTCAGATGCTGTTTTGCTCAGCATTAATGGCTTGCTTGTGACAGGAACAGCAACACTCCTGCATTTGTAAACAGCTCGTGCCCTGGGCTGCTTTTGGCACTGGATGAGCCGCCCTGTCTCTTTAGATGAGGGACAAACCTGGCATTTTCATGCTTTGTAACTTTTCAAACTTTCAACTTTGTCACCTGTTCCGGGAGCATTACTCAAATATTGGCAGGACAAAAAGCCAACAAACAAACGAACACAACAACAAACCATGGCTTCATATTTTAGGTTGTCTGTTTCTTCAATAACTTCAAGTTCTGGGTTCGCATTTCACATAAACAAGCCAGGGCCTGAGTCTCATCTCGTTCTGCAGCAGATGCAAAGCAGAGGCCTGGAGAGCATTGAAGGCCAGGCGCTCCATCGCTCGCTGCCGCAAAGTCTTAACTAGCCATGGGTTAATTCGCCAGAGGTGGTCCTTATGTGTGAGCCAGGCCAAAGCCTGGTAAAAGGACAGGTTTCTCTCCTCCCTGCGGGACTGAGAATGTGCCTTCTTTATATTCGGCCACTCACAGAATAAATTGTCTCCACGCTTATGGAGCCTCTGTGTCTACGCTTTCAAATAAGAGGGACTCAGCTGAGAAGCCAAGGGGGTTGGCGCTAATATGCACAGATGTTCGAGTCCATGGAGAACCTTGGAGAGCAGAGTGGTGTCCAGGGGAGCGTTTGGCGAGCAAAACAAACAGAGCCATTGCTCTCGGAGGCCGCGTCCTGTCCTAGCAGAGGGGCTTTCTGTCTCCCCTCTGTAATATATGGGCATTTCTATTCCGAACTCCTGTGATCCCTCTGGTATACGTTTCTGTGCAGTGGTGCAGCTGAGGAATTTTAAGAATTAGCGGGGTGCCTGGAGCTGCTGCTGAATATTCATAGGATAAGGCCTTTTCTAACTCCTTTTCCAGCCCCTGCAGGAGCTGAATTGCACCTCTTTCTTCAGCTGAGTGAGAGTCACGGCAGCAGGCTAGGAAACGGGCCAAGTCGGCATCCCTCGGCAGCACCGGGGGCGTCCAGAGCCTTGGATGCATAAGTCTGGCCCTGGGAACTTTGTCCTGGCCCTGCTTGGTATTGGAGAAGTGTAAACGCAGAGTAATCTGCTGGGGAAAGCCAAGGTGGTGTCAGGCGAGGAGTAAGGGGGAAGTAGCGAGAGAGGCAGCGCGTGTTTTGCAGCATGCCAGGAAGCAGAAGCGGTGGCAGATGCCACGGGTGGTGCGGCTGAGTCGTGTGCGCGCATCGCGTCTGCCAGCAGACGTGGTTTTCCAAAACCCTCCAGCGTGCCACCAGATCGGACGTGTTTGTTCCAGCCAGCCCTGCCTGGTCCCCTTGTGGGGCGCATGGAGAATTTCGGCGTGAAGATGGAGGCGGCGAGATGTGCCGAAGCAGAGAAGCGTGCGGGGGCCGTCTGCCGTCTTCGTGGGTCGGGAGGGGATGAGAGGCGAGCCGGAGCTCGGAGGCCTGAGCTGCCGCAGACGAGATCGGTGCGGCACGCGTGACGGTTCAGAGGAGGGCGCCTACTCCTAGGAATTGGTTCGTGACTGCTGCTTGTGCTTTCAGAAGAGGCCGGAGGAAGGCAAGGTGTCTGATTCTCTGGAAGTCCGTCTAGCACATCTCATTTTTTGTAAGCCATCCCGAGATGCTCGCAGTGGATGGGTTAGAAGAGCTTTCGATAATTAGAGACGATAAATAAAATTCCTTCCCAGCCATTTCTGTGGGTGCATCCCGTGACTCCCCCTCACTTGGTGACTCACTGCGTGGCCAGAAGACAGAACAAAATGGCAGGAACGGTAATTAATCAGCTGACCCCACTGCAGAACGGAACACCCAGACTGTCGGTGCAGACATCAGCCCGTGGCCCTCTGGAAGCAGGTTTTCTGAAAAGAGGCTGCCTGGGCCAGCCAAAGCCGTGGCCTGCGGGCTCTTGGTGCCTGATGCCGGGGCCTCTTCCTTTCTGATTTTTTTAATTAATTGGCATCACAGGGACCCCGTACTTTTATTGCCAGGCAGGGTCATTTAGGAGAAAGGAGGTGGGCGCGGTGGCAGGGTTGCATCCCGTTTCCACATGGGTCCTTGCAAAGGGAAGAGAGAAATATGTCTCTTGCGCGGTCACATGGACTCGGGCAGAACCTCCCCGTCAGTCTGATAGTTTATATCGATCTGAATGAGTGTCTCCAGTGCAAACGTTCAGTTTTAGGGTTCTGCGATTACTCTAGCTTCAGTTGTGGGTTGCGTGTCACTCGTGCCAAGAGCATTTGCTGTGCGAGTCGGCAGCAAAATGGAAGAACAGTGGTGTGTCCTACCTGGTGTTGGTGGGCAATGGCCATGCGTGGCATGTAGGTATATTAGACGCAGTTGCGCCGGTTGGATGCACTCGCTTCGTTCGTCGGCTTGTTTTTACTTGGAAGGAACGCTCAGCTTTTTTCTAGAGGGGAAAAACAGCAGCTGTGCCATTTCTGTTCTTCGTCTTGGCCAAATCAATTTAAATTCTTTAAAAATCTTTCCCTATTTTCATCCGTAATACCTTTCTGAAAACGGTGGTTATGCCGATCCTCCTAGTTAGCAGAAGGGCTCTCTGATCATCTATCGTAGCTGCTGCTCTGGGACTCGGGCACTGAAAATAATCTTATTTATTTCGGCTTGGAAAGTGGAGGGGCTGTTTCAGGTAGCCTTGAAAGAGCATTATGGGGTTGTGTGTGTTGCGGTAGGATGGAACCCAGGAGAGCGTGGCTTGGCTTGAGTCCCTGCTCAGCCGTGGGACTCCCTGGAGCCGGATCCCGCCTGTCAGGCTCCCTCGCAAGGCTCTTTTGTTGGGAGCACAAGATTGCCAGGAGAAGCAGAATTGTGCATTCAGTTATCCCTGAAAGGGAAAAGGGGGATATCAGTATAATAACTTGGTCTATAAAATGCAATGAAATAGATGTGTGTAACCCAGGGGGTCCTCTCCAGTCACACCAGATGCTCGTACTGACGAGAAAGCAGCGTGTCTCCATGAGAGACACCCCTGGGCCACCCCACTTCTCTTGGCTTCTCCCCCAGAATCCCTCCTTGGTTCTTCCCCATCTTTCTTTCCTTTATCGTGTCCCGGCTTTGGAGCCGGCCTCGAGTCAGCCGTCCTCTAGGGGCTGAGTCGGTCTGCAGTGCCAGGCCTTCTTTCTATGCAGCAAAGCCCCCAACGGGGCGGGGAAAGCGCCGGACTTGGGGAGGAAGACCTGGCTGAGGCTCAGGATGGTGGGGAAGCAGAGGAGGAGGTGGACAAAGGTGGCCTCCGCCGGGTTTTTGTGGCTGTGGGTCAAGGCATGTTGGGGGACGGAGTTACTTGCCTCTTCCTCCCAGCGATGGGTTGAGCGGCCACACCGGGCGTCCTGCAGGTGCCACGGAGTCGCCAGAAAAGGAACGGGAGGGAAGGCGCTCACGAGCTGGTGCTTCTGGAAATGTATGGCAGTGTCACCAGCACAGGGGAGTAAGGACCATCATCCCCAGCACAACACTTCTGTAAAACGGGCATCGGAGGACCAAGAGTTCCTTTCTTGGCTTTCTTGTGCTGCCTCCGCCTGCTCGCATGGGCGGCAAAGACCAAGGAAATGCTCGTGGATAAGTGCCACTTGTCCCTAATGAAGCTGCAGTGGCTAATTCACCCAAGCAGCAAAAGCACTCATATTTTGGCAGTTGTTGAAATAAGGGTAATGTCGCATAATTGGTTTCCTCCTCTGTTCAGCATAATTCAGCATCCCTGCAAGGTGGGGGGTGGACATCCAGGGGTCAGGAAGCCAGGAAAGGGCCTCTGATGCCGGCACTTGGGGGGCCGCAGCCCACCTCTGCACAGTGGGTCAAGCGAGTGCCTGCTGGAATCCAGGGCTCGGGTTACGGAGCACCCCGACGTGTGGAAGCTGTTCCTCGCCTTCCACCCGTGGCCCCGGTCCCGCTTCTCGGAGCTCCTCTCGTAGCAGCCCACCGACTCCCAAACGAGACGGGGTGTGGGTGGCCCGGTGGCAGGCAGAGTCTGCGGGGCGACTCCTCTCCCTCTCCGGCACGAACGGGAGCATTTGAGGAAGGAAGGGGAGCGTGTCCACCCCTCCTCCCTCCCTCATCTGTTGCTTCCAGAAGGTTCCGTTGATCATGCTTGGAACGGGACCAGGATGGAAGCCCTGGAGCAGAGTGAGGTGAGAGGTGGGAGGGGCTGGGGCTGTGCTTTGCACCCCCCCCCCTGCTTTACATGGAAATGGGCCGGACCTGTGGATAACACACATGTCGCTGCCCTGTCTTGTACGCAGCAAGTCGCAGACTGAATA